TTTGAAAGATGCCCCATAGTAACACTATTAGCTATGTTTACATGAAACAAATCCCAGTCTTAGTTTATTTGCCGCATGTACCAGCCTCTTTTTTTATAAAGTGTCCAAAATGTTCAAGTTGCCAGAATAACAGCAGCACCTGTTCCTCAGTGAAATACCTTCCAGGTTTGTAAGGCTCTGCAAAGTGGCTCTGTGATCCTTTTGCAAACACGAGGGTTGAAAGTTGCACAAGTACTGTAATTGGTAACCAGCTAGCATGACCTATTCACCCTGGAATTTTTAACATTCAAGTAAAAAAAAATTTTTTTTAAACCCTCAAACTTCTCACTAGAGTTACTGCTAAAATGTCAAAGCTGACAAACGTGTTAGCTGGAAAATTTAGTACAGTATCAAAACGTGTACATTTCATATGGTTTCAAACTGTATATCTAAAAGAGAACTGTTCACATTCTTGTAATTACATTTTGTGCACCTCGATATGGTTGTTACTGATTGATAGATGAGTAATCAAAATGGCATAGTTTCAAAGTCTAATATTATGGGCTCTGTCTGGGCAGAAACCATTGCTTTATACTGTTGTCACTATTAATGCTCACTATGATGGTACAAACGTAGAATTGTAACAGTGTCACTGTCATGTTGGAGTTACTCAGCTTTGGGCAACTTAGGCTAGTGGGCGCATGAGTAGCCTTCCTTCATCTCAGTGGGATGCAAGACTGTCATAAAAAGATGGGTCTCTTGGGAGAGGGCAGTTTCGCTAACTCCCTTGTGTACCAAGAATTTGCGGGGCGTGCCAGTTGGACCAGAGCAGTGCTTTGATTGGATGCAGAGGGAGCACATGATGTATGCAGTCGGCATTGACTTCACTTCGTTCCCATGCTTTACATGAGTATTGCTTTAGTAATAATGATGAGGGAGAGTGTGTGTGGGGGGGGAACTATGGAGCTGGAAACCAGCAGAATCTGGCAACCCTGCGTGTTGACCACAGAAATCAAAATGTCTGATGGGCCACACACAGAATCCTGATGGGCAACAGGTTGCCCAACACTGGGCTAAATGGAAGCTGGTTAGTATATTTTCTATTCTCTGTAAGTATCAGTGATGCCATGATTTTTTCTTAGACTTGTAAAACTCTGTTCCTCCGAAACAACTAACAAGACCAAGAGAAAATGTATCACAAAAAGTATATCAAAGAGGCATTTGATTTGATTCTCAGTTAGTCAGTCAAGCAAGTATATGTGAAAAGAACAGTCCATCACAGAGGATGGCCACTAGAGATCTCCACACAAATTACAGTACCTGCATAAAAAGGCAATGTAAATAAACAACGCTGAGATGTTCTGCTTGGCTTGTTTGTCGAAGTAGCTGTCATCCTGTGCATGCACATAATCCAAGGTTATCCAAAGCGATTGTCTCCTTTATTTAAAGATTGCGTTCCTCCTGTCAGTGTTGAGGTGAGACAACTAAGGATAGTTTTGGTAACCTTGATTTCTGTTTCATAACATGTTTGGAAAGTGTCTGTTCCTGATAATCAAATCCTGCAAGCTGAGAGGCAGAAGAACCCAGGAAACTAGCATCTCCGCACTCGAGGCATACTTTAAACCTCTCCGTGGTAGGGCTGTAAAAATTTTTAAAAACCACTAACCATGTACCGATTGAAATTCAATAAATTACACTGTTAAATGCTCTGCAGGCTGCTGGCAGCCCCTCCGGGAGTTTAATCAGTAAGGTTAACCAATAAGCTAATATTATCGGTTAACTGGTGGTTAAACATTCACATCCCTACTTTGTGGAGGTGGCATATTGGTAAATGCAAATATGCTGCTTTGGAAAACCTCATTCAGTAATTTGGTATACAGGGCTTGATGGGATTAATGGGTTGTTAGGATTAGATAAAAAATGAAATAATGGATGTTGAACACTCATGAGGTTTCTCAAAGTACAAGTTACCTCTGAAAATGAAAAGGGGATGGGTTTGACAGGGGAGGCAAAGAAAATCCACTGTCCACAAAATGTAGTCACAAGGGTCTAGAGGAATTAAGCACCCAACTCCCTTAGGCTTTCTTGAGCATCCTAACCTCCCTTTTGTGTCAAGAGCCAGGAATATCTAGTGACAAACACCACTGCAAGCACAGGGCATTAGTAAATTATTCCAGCCCTCATGCTTTCTGCATCCATTTTGTGCTGCGGAGCATAAAGCAAAAAGGTATGTCACCAAATTAGAAACCAGGCTTGTGCATGATGAATTATAATCCTAATACCGTTACGTAAGTGACTCTAGCCAGAGAGAGAGAGAGTGCAAAAAGTGATAGAATCATATGTGATACCTAAATACATACTCAGCTGTTTGGTGGGAGTTACATTGTTTGCTTGTAATTGAAAAGCAAAGTCACAGTTCCCAGGTGAAAAGATTATTCTGAACGCTGGTTAATAGTTTGTTCAGAGTTTATGAAAGAAATTATAGTAGATGAATCTCCTCATAAATGTTTGTATCCTCTCTTGTTCTCCTTTATTAATTTACCTCAGTTTTTGGTCTAAGTAATCAGAAAGGTATTTGAAGCAGAAGCCTGTGTCCCTGCAGAACTGTTAACGCTGCAGCATAGAACCAGTGAGAAGCACACAGAAGTGATATTAGAACAGAACAGCCTTCTCAAAATGCTGCTTCCTAAATGAATGTCTTTGAGGTGTTCTGAACTATTGGAATGGAACACTAAGTAGCTTCTTGGTTATAAATGTAAGAAACAAAACTGAATATTAATACAAAACTTTGACAACCCAGTCAAAAGTTTGCCTATTTCTCTCCACTAAGTCATTTATGAAGTAGACTCTATAAGGGCAGACAAACAAGTGATGCCGGTGGGAGATGTGGATTTACACACACATCTATCTGAGTGCTTTGGGCATGAAAAGTTCTACAGCAGGGATAGTCAATAGCAGGGATGTAAAATCCTGTTGAATTAGTTAACCAGTTAAAACATTAAGTTTAACCAGTTAACTGATTAAATGGAGGCGGGGGGGGAGGGGAAGAGGGGGAGGGCTGGAGCAACCTCCCCACCCATCACAGCTGGGCTGGAGTGGCACCTCAGGCCGGATGGGGCAGGGGAGGGATAGCTGATGGCCATTCCCCTCACCCTCCCCTCACTACTGCTTCAGCCCTGTGCAAGATCTCCAACTCCTTGCCTGTGAGCCTGCTGGGCTACAAGCTGGCCATCCTCCCACCTTGCTGTTTCCCCTCACCTCCCCCACCCACACACACTTGAGGCTGCAGCAGTCCTCTGCCTAGCCTAGTGGGGTGCTGCTCCCAGGAAGTGATTAACCATTACCCAGTAAGCATTGCCTATTCACTTTCCTAGTCAATATGTAGATCAGGAGCCAAATCCAGACCACCAGATGCATTTGAACGGACCACAAAGTCTTTTTATTTACTTACTGTCATTATTGTCGTGTTTGTATTTTCTCTAGGCAAGGTCCAAAGAAATTTGGACCTTGATGAAAAATACATTTAAGAATAGCGTTGATGCAGAGCTCTTCTTTGAGCATCCATGACATGGGGTACTATATTATGTAAACACAACAGTAATTGGCTAACTACGTACCCTGCACTAAAGAGAGTCGAATTCTCAATAGTTGCTTTGACCTTTTTGAAAGGGAAGCCCACCCAGTCAAGATAATTTGAGATTATGTAGTATTTCTGAGGGAAGGACCACAAAACTCCTAGCAACTTTAACACATAGAGATTCCCAAGAACCCCTGAGAGTTGGGAAATTGTGTTCCAGAATGATAGTATTTTACCCATACAGTGGGCCTGTGGCAAATCTGGGACTAGAATTCAGGCCTCTCAATTCAAAATCCAGTGCTTTAGCCACAAGGCTATTCCTCTTTTTCAGGAGCCCTAGAGTGAGAATATGTGAAATATTTTAGCTAGCAGAGGTTAGTTTTTCACATATACACAAGAGAGCCTATCACAGATTAGCATTCATTTGAAACACTTCTGCGGAATTGAGAGGATTCACGCTTTACATCAAAAAAGAACTCAAACTAGATCTTGTCTATACATAAATCATGCACCGATTTAACTAATTCGGTAGAAAACTCTTATCTATACAGAAATCTTGCACCGATTTAACTAATTCGGTAGAAAAGCTAAGTCTAGCCCTACACTGGAGGGGGGAGGGGGAAAGTCAGCTTAAGGTTTGCAATTTCAGCTATGTAAATAACATAGTTGGAGCTGACATACTTTAAGATGAGCTTGGTGCTGTCGCCACAGCAGGGGGTCAGTGGGAGAAACACTCCCATCATAGAATCATAGAACACTGGAACAGGAAGGGACCTCGAGAGGTCATCGAGTCCAGTCCTCTGCCCTCACGGCAGGACCCAGTACCATCTAGACCATCCCTGAGAGATGTCTATCTAACCTGCTCTTAAATATCTCAAAAGATGGAGATTCTATGGCCTCTCTAGGCAACTTATTCCAGTGTTTAACCACCCTGACAGTTAGGAAGTTTTTCCAAATGTCCAACCTAAACCTCCCTTGCTGCAGTTTATCGACTTCCCTTACTGCTTGCCAAGAACAAGGCATACTCCTTGCCAAGATCAACGGGATCAAAACCCTCAGATTTTGATTTAGCAGGTCTTTACTAGACCCACTAAATCAAACCCCAGAAGATAGATCGCTAGAGTGTCGATCCTCTGGTAAGTGGAGATGTGGCCTCATTTACTTAAATTGGTGTAACCATCACATGTGGAAGCAATTATGCCCAGCTAAATATATTTATGCTGGTATAGATTTTAAATTCACCAAGACTAGCTACACCAGAATGAAGGTAGTTATACCAGCACAGCTACATCCACATTAGAGAACTAAATCTGCTTTTCAATCAAATTAATTAAATTGGTATACAAAGTGTATAGACAGAGCACGATACTTTAATCAATTGTTTCAGCAATGGAATCCTTGCATTGTAGGTTCCTGCTCATGTTAATTTTCTTTGCCTCCACAGTGGGAGCGCCTTTGGTTCGTAATCCTCACCTTCACTTTCTTCCTGACCCTCATCTGGTTTTATTTCTGGTGGGAAGTTCACAATGACTACAATGAAATCAACTGGTGAGTAGAGAGTTTCTGGGGGGAGCAACACATGCCAATTTGTATGTTCTTGAGGTGTATCATGTCTCTATTGTGTCTGTGTGTTTTGTTCATTTTATTTAAGAGACTTCTTATATTAACAATTTGATAAGTTCTGCATTCATCTGGTAGAATCATTAACTCTAATTAATAGGTAGTGGGGTCTGAATAAATTGAGAACATCTCTGTCTATACCAGTGATTCTCAAACTTGTGTGGTGGTGGTGCGGTGAGCAAGATCACATAAGTACAGATATCATTTTTTTCTAAATCAACCATGCAACTCTCACTAAATATTAAAAACAGTAAGGCAATAATTCCAGCAGAGCCAACAATCAATTGTAATAAGAGCAAAAACAAAGATGTGATTGTGGCCAATGATTGCAACTAAATATGCACACCCCATTGCAGCAAATGGATTAACGTACAGAATAATTCCAACAGAGCCAACAATCAATTGTGATAAGAGCAAAAACAAAGATGTGATTGTGGCCAATGATTGCAACTAAATATGCACACCCCATTGCAGCAAATGGATTAACGTACAGATAGCAACGGCTTTGTCTAATGCTCTGCAAACTTAACAGAACTCCATGAAAACGCACAGCACCCTCTAGAGTCCAATGCATAGCACCATCTGAGGATCTGATGTGTCTGGAGGAACCCATTTGGCTGTTTAGTCATTGCTGTGGGTAAAATGTGCAGTGTGGTTTCTTTCCAAAGCTTCTCATGCAACACTCTTCTCCCCTCTCAGAATACATTTTCTACCAACCTCCTTTTGAGAACTTCTGGTCTACACTGATAGATGTACTGATATATACTTGTGTAGATTTTTAGCCATGTGCTGTGCAGTTTCAGATGGGTGTGCTCCGTAGTAAACTTGGTAAATAAAGCTGGAACTCAAGTTGTTGAAGCCGGTTTATATCTCTAGTTAGTAATTTTGTTTAACCAATGCCAGTTGTGTAAAGGAGGTATTGTGATAGCTCCTTGCTTCCATAAAAAAATTTTAAAAACGGCGAATAGTCCTGCAGCACCTTAGAGACTAACAAAAAATGTAGATGGCATCACGAGCTTTCCGGGGCACAACCCACTTCTTCAGATGTAAGGCCCCAGATGGAATCTATGTTGGCTGTTCTAGTTGCCATTATGCTTTATTTTTTCTAGTTCTGGCTTCTGTTCCTTACGCTGATCCTCGCAGATACAAAAAATTAAAACCAAATTAAAAAATTGCAGCACATTTTTGTCTAGGTTCAAACTCCTCTCCTCACTCTAGAGGCTAAAGGAGGCCACCAAATAAAAATATTTATACACGAGCCATGTACACACAAAGTCAGCATACTCTGATTCATCTCTAGTTTTTTTATCCATAGTCTAACAGCTGCCTCTTGTCCTAAGGCACACCCCCTCTCCCTGCTCACACTTCTTCCCTCTCTCCCCCTGTGAGTCAATGCTCTTCCCTTCTCTCTCATCCTCCATAGGACAATTCGGGGCAGCCGCCATGGGTTCTGTGATATGGGGAGTCCTGTGGAGCCCAGGATGGCCTGGAGGGTGCTGGAGGGAGAGGGGAAGGGCCCAAACTCAGCAGCGGTGATGACCCGCTGCCTCCCCTGCCCACAGTAAACAGTATATCTTTCCCCTCTGCCAGTCCTCAGTTTGGTAGGCTCCTTGTGCCAGTCTTGTCCTTTCCCTCCTTCCTAGTCCCGCTGTTGTTCCCTTTGCATTTAGATCAGATGGCTTCCTTCTTCAGGCTGCAGCCAGGGCACCGAGAGCAGAGGAAAGTGGTATGGCTGCTCTGAGCCCTGGTGCCTGGCCTAATCCTGGCCTGGGCAGCCATTACCATGAAAGCTCTTCCAAGCCCCTGTAGCCCTGGGCAGGAGGATGCTCCGTTGCTGTGTGGGGATGACATGTGCACAGTGAGGTCAGCACTAGGTTCTGGGTGGGGATGGAACACGGTGGTTAAGGCAGGATCACTTTAGCGATTTTTGCCTACTAAAAAGTCCCACATGTGAACTTTGATTCCCTTTCACTCTCCTCTTCCGAAAGCCTTTATAACTTATCCAAAAGGCGCACATCCCTGACACACAAGCCACCCCGCTACCGAAACTCCAATCCCTGTCCTACAGCATGGGGGCGCTAGAATGTTTCAGAGAGAAAAATTAACAGAATTTTTTAACCAGTGCAGAACATTCCTTCCTTCCCCCCTCCCCCACCTTAGCCTGGTTCTCAGAAACAGTAGAACTATGCCTGCCTGTCTGTCTGTCGATCATCCTGGGTTTAGGGTTGTCAGATGGGTTAACCGAAAATACTGACTCTTCCCCCCCCCTCCCAAAAAATGGAGAAAAAAATTCTGTTGGGGGGGGAAGGGGAGGAGACTAAAGTTGTTGAGCAAAAAAAAAGGACCCCAAGAGTTATTAAGCAAATAAATAAAATAGCATCAAAACAGGATGGCCCCTTTAAGTGCATGCAGAGTCATCAGGAAGAGGAGAGGTTGAGCACTAAGACCCAGGGAAGGCATTACTTCTCCTTGCTCAGATCTTTAGGCTTTTTACTGTAATCCAGGGGCGGATATAGGGCAGGGCGAACGGGGCGGCCGCCCGGTCCCCACGCTTCAGAAAGCCCCACGCATGCGCCGTGACGTCACTGTGCAAGCGCCGTGGCAAAGGAGGGGCCCTGTGGAATTATGCTGCCCGGGGCCCCGCAAAACAGTCATCTGCCCCTGCTGTAGTCCATCTTGTTTTCTTGGTCGAGCCAGAAGGGAGCTTCCCTGCAGAGCCAGGAAAGCCGGGGGTCCGGAGGCAGGGGTGTCAGGGGCCCGGGGCTGGGCCCAGTTGCTGAGTGTGTCGCAGAGTTGTCAGGTGTCCGGTATTTTCACCTCCTGGCAGAGAAAAAATCAGAAAATACCGGACATTTTAGGTGTCCGGTATTTTCTGATTTTTTTTTACCAGACAGGAGGCGAAAATACCGGACTGTCCGGGTCAATGCCGGACACCTGGCAACCCTGCTTGGGTTAGAGATCCAGCACCCACATAGGTAAAATTTTGCAAAATTATAAGCAACTCAAAGAGGGCCATTTTATGCAAAGGTCAGGCAACCTTACTCAGCCTACCTATAATAAAACTGAATTTCTTGCAGAATGTCTTAGCAATTTTCTAAAATGTTTTAAAGCAAAGCCCCAGCTACTGCCAGTGAAATCACTTCAGCAATCATCTTCTTGTCAAAGACAATGTTCTGATTCTATTTAAAATGCAAGTGGTAGTTGATCCCATAAATAAATTGCCTGTTGGGATGCTGAAGTTGTGTGAATGAGTGTTCAAAAAACTTAATGACGTGAGCAATTTTCTGCCAGGAAGGATGAATATAAGAGAGGGCTGTCTCTAAATAAATTCATGTTTTCAGCAGTGAGATTACAGTGCTCCTGGGGATGTGTTTGGGGGAAACTTATATCCTGTCATCTCATTTGACAGTTTTATTGAGCATGGCCTGTCCATTCTCATCAACATTTAGAGAGGAACATGTTTATCTGGGATGTTTTATACCCTTGAGTAACTTGACATTGGGGGCTGGGGAGAATAACTTAAAAGTGCTAAAGAGAAATTTGATCCAAGATTAAGGTACCATGATGGGGTGTCATTTAGGCACTTAGCATCAATCTTCTATGGGACTTTTGTCACTCATGGCAGTGGCACTTCATTTTCTTCCCTGTGTTTCTCCTTTCCATGGTTTCCTCTTGTTGCTTGCTTACCATGCAGACAAGTGTTGTTCCCTTGTGCTCCCCCATCTGTATCTACCTGTTTGTGGTATTTTACAAACTGTTTGGGGGCAGGCACCATCTTTTTGTCCTGTGTTGTACAGCGCCTGGCACCATAGGGTCCTAGACTAGTACTAAGGCTCCCATGTTCTATCATGAGATGACTCTTAAAAATTATCCAGAATCCAAATGTTCACCCAAATACCTGACATGGCTTAGCTGCTGATGTTCTGGGCTTTCTTTAATTATTTTTGTTTTACCTGAAGAAAAAGTGCAGCTGAAGGTCAGGGTTTAAATTTCCCTTAAGACTCCAATATTTTTTCTTTGGCCATCCTATATCAAATGTACAATTTTCTCTCTCTGCTTTTTTGAAAGCCCCTATTCCACTGCTCCACTTCTCTCTCTATGTCTACACAGGGCAAATCCTTCTTCCTTCCCACCCCCTGAAGAAAAAAATCATCAGAGCATCTCATAGCCCAGGTCAAATGACTCTGACGTAAGAGGTTCATGTTGTGGGGTGAAAAATAGCAGTGTAGGCACTTGGGCTTCTGGAGTTTAGGCTCTGGAACCCGGTGAACCCAAACATTTACACAGCCTTTTTCAGCTCTGCAGCACAGATCCGAGTCAGCTGACTTGGGTTCTGACACTTGCCTTGAGTGGGGACAGGGAGTGCAGTGTTCTCTGTGTGAATGCACTGAGAGAACTCGCAAGGGCGTCTTTCAGCAACACTTTCGCCTTTCATAGCAAAGAATGCAAAGAGAATGTTTAAGACTTGTTTCAAAGCTTCCCTGGAGCTTTTAAAATCTGATGACCCTTTAAAGACAGTCAAAGCCCATGTAAAACTCTTGCCACAAAACTCAGACAGCACACAACTCATTTGGTTTCAGATTCACAATGGAGTTTGAAATCAAAGTAGGGTTGCCTAGGTTCTGAGCAAACCTGGGCTGCTGGAGAGTTGTGCCAGGTCTCTGGAAGAAGCCAGAAGAAACCTGAACTGTTCAACTGAGCTGCTCCTGGAGTTTAGGCCTGAAGCAGTACAGATCCCTAAATAAACCTCTACCAAGGTCAGATGCTGAGTTTGCTTTCAATAAAGAATGCAATATTGCATCTATAAAGCAGCTGGATAAATTGAAGCATAGAGTTGCAATTGACTTGCTTGCCTAAAGCCACCCATTGTCTCAGTGGCAGAATTGAGAATAGATCTAAGTCTGGGGGATTTGATAGCAGCCTTCAAC